CTGATGGCTGGGCCCAGGTCATTGGCTAGTATGCATAGCCATTGACCCTTTGTCTTTTTAAAATCATATGTCTAGCTTCTGAGTCTAGATGAAAGACAATATGTTTCACTGAACAAGCATCTGATAGTTTTTTTCACAGCAGAGACTGTGGGAGCTAATAGGCAACATTCTTTTGTAATCACTGGGTAGAGATCAGAGTTTGAAATAAAATACTATCAAAGTGTTGGACCAAAACTAAAAACAAAAAAAAAAGAAATGTTTTCATGGACTAAAATGAAAACATGAAAGGAAAAAAAAGGAAGAGAAGAATGAGAAAGGCAGAAAAAAGATGGGAGGGAAGAGAGAAGGAACCGTATATTTCAAAGTATTTTCCAAGTATTACAAATTGAAGTTAACTCTCTCTGAAATATAGTTTTCCAAAATTAATGGATGCTAACATATGGTATCTTGGCTAAAATAATTTGTATCTCTAATGAATCCTCTGGATTTATTTCTATTGACTTCAACTTGGAGAACATAAGGTTTTAATAAGGATGTTACTGCCATCTTGTGGCAAGGTTCAGCATTGCAACTTTACACACACACACACACACACACACACACACACACAAGCATTTTTATTCCTTAGTAATGACTTAAGAACTTGAGAGGACTGGGTTATAGTTCAATGGTAGAGCACTTGACTAGAATAGTGGAAGACCATAGGTTAAATCCCCACCACCGAAAAAATACAAAAAAAAAAGAACCTTAAAGCTGGAAGCCATGGTGCATGCCTGTAATCCTGGTGACTCCAGAGACTGAGGCAGGAGGATCTCAATTTGAGTCCAGCAACTTAGTGAGACTGTCTCAAAGTAAAAAACAAAAAGAGCTAAGGATGTAGCTCAGTGGTAGAGTGCCCCAGGGTTCAATCCCTAGTATCAAAAAAATAAATAAATAAAATTTTAAAGGAACTTTAGAAATCACCCAATCTGCCGGGTCCCAAGTGCTCAGGATGGATCACTAGTTCAAAGCCAGCCTCAGCAAAAGCAAGGCACTAAGAAACTCAGTGAGACCCTGTCAAAATAGGGCTGAGGATGTGGCTCAGTGGCCTAGTGCCCCTGAGTTCAATTCCAACCACAAAAAAAAAAAAAGAAAGAAATCATCCAGTCTTTCTCCAGTTCCATCATCTTTCAGTGAAGGTTCTAGAAGCTTATATCACACTCCATGGTCTCATTCTTCACTTGTAGCCAAATTCCCAATATTCCTTAGGTAACAATAACTTTTGTAAAATAACTGGCTCTCCAAAGCTACTTGCCCTGGCATGTACTATCCGTACCAGAGCATGCTTATGAGACTCAATTTGATATCAAATATACTCCAGGTAACTCAAATGTGAAGCCACAGTTGTTATTGCTGGTGCTGTTGTTGTTTTATACCCACAGCATTTAGTATGTATGGCAGTTTCCCCTGTTAACTCATTCAGAAGTATATATTAAGCCAGACTTGAGAGCCTGAGACAGGAGAACTCCAAGTTCAAGGCCAGCCTGAGAAATTTAACAAGACCCTCAGCAACTTAGGAAGACACTGTTGAAATAATTTAAAAAAAAGTGTCTATCAAGGACATACTATGGGGCTGGGGATATAGCTCAGTTGGTAGAGTACTTGTCTTGTGTGTACATAGCCCTGGGTTCAAACCCCAGCACCACAAAAAAAAAAAAAAAAAAAACTACTATGGCCAGGCATGGTGGCACATGCCTATAATCCCAGCCGCTTCGGAGGCCAAGGCAGGAGGATCACAAAATCAAAGCCAACCTCAACAATTTAGTGAGACCCTAAGCAATTCAGTGAGACCCTGTCTCTAAATAAAATACCAAAAAAGGGCTGGGGATGTGGCTCAGCGATTGAGAGCCCCTGGATTCAATCCCAAGTACCAAAAAAAAACAAAGAAAAAAGGAAAAGAACCTACTATGTGCAAAACCCTGCACCAGTAGTACTTGGGATTCTAGAGAGAGGAGGAAAACCCCCACCTCTCATGGAGCTACATTCTAGAAAAGGAAGGCAAACAATAAGCCAACAAGTAAATATAGTATGTCAGATGGTGTTAAGTACTACCAAGAGGAATAAAATAGAAAAGAAGGATCGTCGAGAGAGACCTCATATGAATAGAAACCTGAAGGAGATAGCAGAGAACTCTCCATGAGCATGTGAGAAGGGAGGGTGAATAGAGACCTTATAAAACCTTTAAGAAATTCAAGGTCTTTCAAAACTATACTGATGAGTACATACCCCACAGCCCCAATTCCAGTGATCAACCAGAAATATTGTATGCTCTCTTTCAAAACAAAATAATGAGGATTTGAGGAGGGAAGGTCTCATCAGGGAAATACTTTGGAGTGGGATTTCCCTTGAGGTTAAAATTTTTCTTCAACTCTCTTGGCAGTGTTTTTTTTTTTTTTTTCCTTAATCAGACCTATAAAGAAAGCATGCAAAATATGACTCAAGAAATATAGAAGTCACACTGGTCAAAGAGTCATGAAAGGCAGGTGCTCTGAGATTCTGAATACTTGGTTTGCCTGATTTGATTTCTAAAAAATGCTAAAGGCTTTCCAGAGAGACTTGGGAGCCCCGTGCAATAGGCTAGACTGAACCTCCTAGGACATCTCTCCCTCTGCAGGACGGTTCCACTCCAGGACTGCCAGACTCCTCCACAGTTCTGCAACTCTGTGCATGTGAGTCTAAAAGGGTGGAAAGCAATGTGAAAACATGCTCCATTCAAGATAAGCCCACAAACTAATTTTGGAGCTTAAAGATTCTCTGTTGTGTTGTCCAAGTAAGTGTTCATTTAATCAGTCTCTTTTCTCCATTTTCTTCCTCAACTCTTACCCAAAGGAATTAAGTTCCTTCTTCACTGATAAGGAATTTCTTTTGTGTTGAAATGAAATAAAAAATCTTTACATTATTTTCTTTTGTTTTTTCCTTTTTATCAGGGAGCAATAAAGGACAGAGTTGGTCAACCATAAAATCAGAGAGAATATGAGGAGATTCTTTGTTGTGAAAACACAAAAGCCAGATTTACAACCTTCCCTTTCTCCTGTGAAGAGGACACTGAGTACCTTTCCTAAAGCAAATTCATTTTTGTTTAATCTTTAGTAAAGAACTAGAATCTATTTTGTGGATTAGATAAAATCTGTCTAAACCACCACCACCCTTTTTTTTTTTTTTTTTTTGGTACTGTGATTGAAGCCTAGAACTGTTTTTATTTTTAATTTTGAGACTGAGTCTTACTCACATTGTCCTTGAACTTGAAATCCTCCTGCCTCAGCCTCCAGAATCACTAGGATTAAAGGTGTGGGCCATCTCACCCAGCTAAGCCATCCCAAATTCTATGCATATCCTCTACTCTGCCCTAGCTGTACCAGGACATATAACTGTGAATGAATGGTAACATCAGGAAAATCTTTCCAGAAACAGATTTTGATTGAGTCTTATCCCAAGGATAAATAGGAGTCCTTTGATCCCAGCATGTCCAACACATCACTGAACCAATCTTTGTTCCTCATCTTCACAATTTCATAATTATTTCCTAGTAGCACAGACCCTGAAGGTCACTGTGGAAATCCAAACAAAGTTTCAAATTGCTGGGTAAAGGCTTGCCTTCCTTTGAGCCTCTCCAAATGGAAATGCACTTCAGGAGAAGTGTTCACATCAAATGAGCTTGAACTGGGGCAGGGGCACATAGAAAACAGCTCATCCTATGAGCCCATAATGCCAAAGAGGTCCATGGAAGGTGTCCTGGTCCCTCCCTGTCTTTCCCTTCTCCACCCATCCCTAGGGTTTCCAGGATAATTATCTTTTTTAAAATGCCCTATTTAGCCAGGCACAGTGTTGTACACCTGTAATCCCAGTGACTCTAGAGGCTAAAGCAGAAGGATTACAAGTTGAAAGCTAGCCTTAGCAATTTAGCAAGACCCTAAGCAACTTTTGAGACCCTCTCTCAAAATAAAAAGAGCTAGGGATGTGGCTCAGTGGTTAAACATTCCTAGGTTCAATCCCCAGTACAAATATATATATTCTCTAACTTCAGTGGGCTTCTATCTTCAGATCCTTTTTATAGTGAATGTTTTTTGTGTGCCTCAGTGATTTGGAGTTATTTGGATTCTGACCGTTTTGCAAATTATTTCAGCGACACTATATACAGTAAAACTTGGGAAATTTAAAAATATTTGGGTACACATACTAAAATTCTTTTTTTGTTGGCAAAGGGCACATTAACATTTCCTGTGGACCTTGAAGAGCCAGGTATATTTAGCATCATTATTGTTGTTAGCTCTTAAATTTTAATATATGAGTTAAGCTATTTTAGAGAATAATAAAGACACAATTTACTTGGAGATAACTCTGATGACAATTAAATGCTTGAGTACATTAATAGTCACGTGTTATTTATAATTAATCCATTACAATTTTAATTGTTTTCTGAAAAATACCCATTTAAATTACAAAGATACTTTATAGTTAAATGACAGATGAATGTATCTCAAACCCAGTGTGGAGGTAAAATCTTTATCAAATAAGCTACTTAACAGAAGTAATAAAATAAACATATTTCTTCCCTCTAGTTTCCTTGTAACCTGGTTCAGATACTTGAAAATCTTTGAAGTTCTTTAAACAGTCACTATGTAGACTGAAATATATGTACATGTTATACACAAAACATCAAGTCATGTATTAATCAATGCTTTCATAATAAACAATAAAAACTCCTCTGTAATATCATATTTTTGAAAATCCAATCCCAAACCAATGGACCATATAAATCAATTAGTAAATCTAAATGATATTCTGAAAACAATAAAAAACCTGATTGGCCCTTGGAGTTTGTTATAATGAAACTAGACCCACATTTCATAATGTCTAACCCTTGCCCTAAAACACCCAGCCAGGTGGGTACAAGGATTAGACAAACAAGATCAGCAGAAAACACTGTATCCGATCAGTAGGATTTGGCAACATCCACTCAATCAGCCATTCAGTAATTCAGAAAATACTTACTTATCACATTTACTGTGATAGATGAGGTGATTAAAGGGGGAGATGAATAAGAAATTGGACAATGGCAATATAATATGATGCATGCTCTGTACAAGCATAGTCCTCGGTAATCAGGAAAGGTTTCTGTAAGGTGAGGATCCCCAAACTGAATCCTGAAGGAAGAGTAAGGACTACCTAGATGAAGGGAGCAGAAAAGGTAAGCATGCACAGGTTCCAAGTTAGAACATACTTCTCTGACAGCCCTGGGAGTCCCATGCATCCCTAATACTAAGAAGGAATTACAAGGGGTGTAATAGGGTAGAAAACAAGGACCACATAATGAATATCTGTGCATGTTCTGATGATGAAATGTGACTTTAACTGAGGAATATGGAAACATCCCAATAATGGCAATGGAGGAAGAAAGTAGATGCAGGGTGTGTGTTCCAAACCCCTCTGCATCTACCTTAGCTTCCCTTCATTGAAATCCCTTTTGATTGAAATTTTTTGTCATCTCATATTATTTACATGTTCCTCTCTTCCTTGGTCTGCCAAATCTTGCTTCTCAGGGTCTCTCGATGGACATGAGCTTCCATATGTCTAGGAAATTAACCAGTCTCTGGAAGTTTTCTCCTATAACATAAGCCTGAAAACCTAATGGTACATCAACATTTCTTCTTAAAAATGTGTTTACATAAGTCCATTCCTCTTCTCATTTCTAGGTGTTATTTATCTGATAAAGGTATCTTCTGTGACATTTCCCATGTCTGACTTCACCATTCATCTTAGCAGACTGCAAAAAAACATGAGAAGGAACAAAAACACATCGCTGGACACCACAGTGACAGATTTCATTATCCTGGGCTTGCCTCATCCCCCAAATCTAAGAACCCTCCTCTTCCTGGTCTTCTTCATCATTTACATCCTGACCCAGCTGGGGAACCTGCTCATTCTGCTCACAGTGTGGGCTGACCCGAAGCTCCATGCACGTCCCATGTACATTCTTCTGGGAGTGCTCTCATTCCTGGACATGTGGCTCTCTTCCGTCATAGTTCCAAGACTTATTTTGGATTTTACTCCTGCTAGCAAGTCTATCCCATTTGGTGGCTGTGTGGCTCAGCTTTATTTCTTTCACTTCCTGGGCAGCACTCAGTGCTTCCTCTACACCTTGATGGCCTATGACAGATACCTGGCAATATGCCAGCCCCTGCGCTACCCACAGCTCATGAATGGCAGGTTATGCACCATCCTTGTGTCTGGAGCTTGGGTGGCTGGCTCCATCCATGGCTCTATACAGGTCACCTTGACCTTCCGCCTGCCCTACTGTGGGCCCAACCAGATAGATTACTTTATCTGTGACATCCCAGCAGTGTTGAGACTGGCCTGTGCTGACACCACTGTCAATGAACTCGTGACCTTTGTGGACATTGGGGTAGTGGCCGCCAGTTGCTTCATGCTGATCCTGCTCTCCTATGCCAACATAGTCCATGCCATCCTCAAGATTCGCACCGCTGATGGGAGGCGCCGGGCCTTCTCCACCTGTGGCTCCCACCTAACTGTGGTCACAGTCTACTATGTCCCCTGTATTTTCATCTACCTTCGGGCTGGCTCCAAGAGCCCCCTGGATGGAGCAGTGGCTGTGTTTTACACCGTAGTCACTCCACTACTGAACCCCCTCATCTACACCCTGAGGAACCAGGAAGTGAAGTCTGCTCTGAAGAGGTTAGCAGCAGGTGGAGGGACTGTGAATGAAAATAAGTAGCTACAAGCTCAGGAACCACCATGTCACCATCACTACACTGTTTTCAGCTGCTGCTGCATGTGACAAATGTTTAATAAACAGTTCATGACTTAAATTGAATTTACTTCTGATTGAAAGATACTTAGGAACACTTTGGGTCTGTAATCCTTTCATCACATGAAATTGTCTCAAATTGTTTTATATTATTTACTTAGAAATAAACTCATACATTACCTCTACCATCTCTTACTACCTTGTGAAATGAGAAAATGCCTTATTAAAGGCCAAACAATAAATGTGTCAATGTCTTAGGAGGCATATTATACCAGAATATTTGAAGGAAAAAAAGTAGTGTAATGCCACTCAATTCTCTTTTTTTATTCTTTTTGTCCTTAAGCCTAGACCCATGTTTCTTTGCTTGCCCATGGTATGAATATTCCGAAGTACTTAAATTTGAAAATTCTGGATCATTTATGTTTCCTTCCTGTTCCTCCCCTCCCTATGAGCTAACAGCAAATTCTGTCTCTTCTACCTTTAAAATGTCTCTCTTGATTCCTAACTAGTCTTGTCTTTTTCCCCTTCATTTACACTAAAATCAATACTACCCTTCTGAAACACAGAATCTCTGAAACCCGAACTCTCCAGTGAATGAAGATTAAAGTCAGACTTCTTAACCTGGAGTTCAACATCCACTACAACCTGGATCCTACATGGCTTTTCTTCTAAGACATCTCCAGCCACCTTCACTGATTTATCGCCACTCCTTGAGTCTGCCCTGAGCTTGCTTGATGCTCTTTTGCTTCCTCTACATTGAATATACTTTTTTCCTCTCCCTATTGACCAAGTGAAGGTTTTTAATTCCTTTGGATCCATATCAAACACTTTCCCATTAATCTTACCAGACAAGACTTAGCTCCTCTTCCTTTGTGTTTCCATAGCTCTTTATTATAATCCTTGTCACAGCCTCTCATGAATCACAATTAAGAATTCTTCTCTCTTTCCACCCCAGTAGATTCTTACAGGTCATATAGCATTCATCATGTTTGTGTCTGCTCCACCTCTCTAAAAACTAGGAACAGATATAGAAATCAATGTTTATTGCTGAATTGAAACAGCACTGGGAATGTTCCCTAAAATGCATTATAAACAAAATAAAGACATTTTTTCAGTTATCCCTGTTACCTGTCCTGGTCACACCATAACATTCAAAAGAAACTGGAAGATTCAAGTACAGGTCAGTCTAAGAGCAAATATGGATAGTTCCTCGGTGAATAATAAAAACATGGTAAAAGCATTTTTTTTTAATTTGCTGATGTATTTTTCACTTCTTTGGACGTGTGGTGTCATGTTGGCCCATTTTAATCATGAAATGAAAACAAAGAGGCTTGGGATATAGCTTAATGGTAGACATGTGGTTAGCAGATGCAAGGCCTTGGGTACCACCCCCAGTACCACCAAAAAAAAAGGAAGGAAGGAAGGAAGGAAGGAAGGGAGGGAGGGAGGAAGGAAGGAAGGAAGGAAGGAAGGAAGGGAGGGAGGAAGGAAGGGAGGGAGGGAGGGAGGGAGGGAGGGAGGGAGGGAGGAAGGAAGATTAAAATATGGAAAGACTTGAAATTAACAAAATTCAAAAATATATCAATATAAGAATCACATTATGCTATAAAAATAATATATAATATATATTATATAAATTATATTATATATATAATATATAACATGGGGCTGGGATTGTGGCTCAGCTGTAGAGCGCTCACCTAACACCAGCGGGACCTGGGTTTGATCCTCAGCAACACATAAAAATAAAGGCATTGTGTTGTGTTCATCTACACCTAAAAAATAAATATTAAAAAAGTAATAATATTAGGAAGAATGCATACTATTGGAGAAGATAAGCAAAGCAATACAGTATGCACAATAATTTGCTAAGCTTGAAACAGCTAAGTCATTGAAAATCTCCGAGTGGACATTTGGAAATTATCATTTTAAATGGAACCTCGAAGACATTGACAGGTCAGACCTTTCATGAGTCTCTTAGGCCAGTGTGCCATATTGATGTGAGAAGAGATAAGATATTGAGATAATATGTAAGTTAATCCACAAAATGTAACTCCTCAGGGTTATACACGTGAACGCCAAGTTCATCAGTTAAAAAAAAAAAAAACTGATCCTGATGTTGTGTAACAGAGCTGTTAGTAAGAATTCATCTACTTCCACATGAAGAAAGGTACAAGTCAAACTATGAAACCAACTCAAATTCTGAAACAATGTAAACAAAAACCAGGCTGCCCCTGAGCTATGTCTGTTTGCTATCATAAAACCTGGGACCCTTCATTTCAACAGTATGGTTCCTGAGATCTACTCCCACCTCCTCTTCCACAACCCTTTTCTTCTTCGTCCTTTATTCCATCCACTTTAGGATAATTTCATTTCATCTAAAGGAGCTCATTAAACCAATTAGTAATAAATATGAAAGATTAGTGGTTCATTTAATTTCCCATGGTATTTGGCCATCAATCTAGATGGTCGGTCAAAGAGGCTTTTACTTCAGTAACTTCGAGTTTTAATGAGTTAACTCAGCTACCTGGTGAACTATTCAGTTTATCTGTTCACTTTAGAAAAGAAAGAGTACTTTTTTTTTCATTACTGAGAATTGAACCCAGAGCCTCACATATGCTAGGCAAGTGCTCTGCCAGTGAGCTACATCTTCTGCCCTGTTAACAGAATCTTGATTCTGCCATCAACTAGTTATGTGTCCTTGGTCACACAGCCGAACCCTGGTTGCTTTATACATAAAATAGATTCAATAAGATTTACTTAACAGTATTTTTAAGAGCATTGAATGAAATAGCTGCTGTAAAGTTCTTAAAACATGATAGACATTTAGTAAATGATTGCTAAAATCATTATTCTCATTATCATTATTGAGAATTTAAAGGAGGATCTGTGTTAAGAGACAAACAAGAGATTGCAATAAAGTGTGGACACAGGAAATATTTTGTGATGAAGAGCCCACTGTTTCCTCCAGAGGAGGGAGTGAAATACCAGAGGATGAATAACTGTTCTGCTCACAGCCCGATTGTACTAAGGCAATGGGATAAGTTGCTGAGAGACCAAAAAAGCCAGAGACGGCATGTGAGACATAGGTTTATTGAAAACTACTGTGGGAAAGGTCCAGTAGCAACAGGCTGGAGAGAAAGCACTCTGTCCCTCATGGTGCTTCATCCAGTTGGTAGCTGGCTAGATGAGCACTTATCTTCTCCACAGTGTCTGTTCCACACCAGTTACCTCAGAGAGTAGGGTTTTATAAGTTAAGTTTGCTTTGTGCCATTGTATGAGCAGTATTCCAAGGAACTTAATGAACATGGAAGATAGCACTGCTTGCCCAGTTTTCAGTGCATAAGAGAGAAAAAATCAGTGACTTTCAAGATAATCCTACCTGGACACTCTGGTACAGGCCTGCTTACTTTGTTCTCTTGAGCTTGCCAGGCGCTTAGGAATGGAAGTGTTGTTTCAGAGTCCTGGTGTTTGACTGTCCCTTTTTCCCAAGAATGACACCATGATCAAAAAATGAGACACATGGAGAGCTCATCATAACAGTAACAGAACCACAGAGAGCCTTTGCATGTTCACAGAGCACTAGGAGCATCTACTGATGCTGCTTCTGGGAGACAGTGACCCAGCTCTAAGCAACTTCCAGTTCCTGGAATTTTGTAATCTCCCAAAAGACTGGCCTTAATTATCTGAGGATCTTCAACATGTAGTTAAGAGCCTTCTATTCTTTTTTTAAAAATATTTTTTTAGTTGTAGATGGACACAATACCTTTATTTTGTTTGTTTGTTTGTTTGTTTGTTTGTTTTTAATGTGGTGCCGCAGATCGAATCCAGTGCCTCACACATGCTAGGCAAGCGCTCTACCACTGAACCACTACCCCAGCCCCCGAGTCTTCTGTTCTTTATATTCATATTTATCTCTCAGAGGGAAAAACCCTCATATTTAAGTATCCTTAATACAGCTTTATTAAAATATCTACTAACCTGAGAAGACCAGCATGGCCTTGAGAAAGGATTAGTTCATTTGCAGATATTCTCCAAGGAACATAAAGGCAAAAAGTGAGAGAGAAAAAAAAAAAAAAGTCCTTAATGTTTCTTAGTTGCCCAATGATCTGACCATGAATTTCATATGCCTCAATTTAACTTGGACTCAATGTTTTCTTTTTTCTTTCTTTCTTTCTTTTTTTTTTTTTTTTTTTTGGTACTGGGAATTGAACCCAGAAGCACTGAGATGCATCCCAAGTCCTTATATGAAATTTTATATTGAGACAGGGTCTTGCTAAATTGCTGACACTAGCCTCAAACTTGCAATCCTCCTTCCTCAGCCTCCAGAGGTTCCTGGACTATAGGTGTGCACCACCACACAGCCCATTTTTGTTTTCTAGAGAACAGCAAGTGAAAGGTATAAGAGAAGCCTAGGATGAAAGACAGAAATTCTGACATTAGTAACCATCTGTCCCTCATCTGCCACAGCATCCCACACAGAACTCAGCCATTTTTGGTCCCTTGCACAAAAAGCTCAGGTGATATTCAACTCTGGGGTTTACTCTAATTTATCTTTTAAGACCATAATTTTCCAACTTCATTGCATTTACAATCATTTAGGAACCTTTTTTATTTAAATAGTAGTGCCCAGGTTCCACTATCCAAGGTTCTGATCTAATTGATCTGAGCTGGGACCTAGGTAAAAGAATTTTAAAAGGAGATTCTTTTTCAATATTTATTTTTTAGTTGTAGTTGGACACAATATCCTTATTTTATTTATTTATTTTTATGTGGTGCTGAGGATCAAACCCAGAGCCTCGAACATGCTAGGCGAGCACTCTATTGCTGAGCCATAATCCCAGCCCTTTAAAAGGAGATTCTAATATGAATTAGAAACAATTTCTTAAGAGTATCTGACAGGCCCCAGGAGAATCTCATTTTCCAAATGAAGTTCTGGTTATCAAGGAGAAAAGCATATCTGCTTTGCAAGTTAATCTACAACCTTAGAAGATCAGATCCCCAGATCCTTTGCAGTCCCCAATGTAAATTATCTGGACTTTTAAGTGTAATCTTTTTTCTTCCAGTACTGCCTATCAACAAATCA